ACCGATCCAGGGATGCGCTAGAAGAAGGCTTGTTCTCCTGCTCAACTCAGAGGCCCCGACTCTCAGAATGAGATTAGAGTGGGCAGGGTGGCTGGCGTGGAGCAGGTGCTGTTTTCGAGCTGAACTTACTTCTCTCTGCCTTCCAGCCTCGCACATCCACAGACCCCAGGTGACCTCCATTCATAAACCATGGTAGTTGGTTATCTAAGGCCCAACTCCAAACCAGTGTGACTCAGTGGTTAACAGCAAAGGCTTTGGGCCAGCCTGTGGTGTAATGGTTAAAGCACTTCATGCCACATGGTCAGCGGTGTGGTTCGAATCCCAGAATCGGTAGCTTGAAAAACAAACTGGGCACATGTGCATATATACCCAAAATCCCAAGAGGAGAGGGACTACAGCATGACCATCCTCCCTCCCCTTGCATGGGATGGCGGGGTGCTTTCTCGTTTTCCCTCTGTGTCTCTCTACAGCCAGCGCACATGCCCGGTAGCAAACAAACAAACAAAAGCACAGGCTTTGAAATCAGGCAGACCTAGGCCCAAGTCAGAGCTCCAGAATTTAGCAGCTGTGCAACTCTAGATAAACCGCGTGAGCTCTCGGAGCCTCGGTGTGCCCATTATCACAAGGAACCTGTGCGATAAGGGACATCACTTACTTAGCACAGGGTCCTGCACAGAGCAGTCACTTAATAATTAGTAGCTACAATCAAATAAACCCTCTTCTGCTTTTCCCCTCTTGCAGCCCACGTGGGCCTCGGCCATGTCTCATCGGTGCCACTTGGTCCCTAACCCCACGCGTATCTAACCATAGAATGACATGTCCTGTGGCGTTACATCTCTTGGGTTGACGCCGCACCTCTGTACTTCTCCCTGGAGATGTTGAGCAGCTCACAGCTCAGGACCAAGGTTGATGCTCCCCCTCACTCTCCACGGGGCGCGGGTGCCGGCCGGGTACCCGGTAGGAGCACAGTAAACACTGATTGGGCTAAATGGCCAGTTTATGACCTTCTCTTTGAAATGGCCTTCGATGATTACCTTTTATGAGGCTTACACTTTAGACTTGAGATGTAAAACAGAAGCTCAGGTTAAGAGGCAAATAATGGGATATTTTATGTGCTGTTCTGGAGCAAAAGTCCCCAGCTTTATTGCAGTGGCTATAAAAGAGTGTGAGGGAAAAGCCTGGATTGAGAAATCCCCAGTGGAAAGAAGCCTGGGTCAGAGCACAGGAAGCCCAGACTTCCCACCCCATGCTGCACCATCCGGTCAGGCCCCTTCTTTGACCTCTCGTGCAAAGTCAAAGGGGTCCCCTCTCCGAAGCATTTTACAATTCCAAACTCTTAAGATTCTCCAGTTCTAAGATTCTCACACCCTGCGACTGTAAAATCCTAATATCTGGCAGTTCCCGAGTGTTCGATGCCGTGGTTCTGCACTGGAGTGTGGCGGTTACCATGGTCTGGAGTGGGAGACCTGAGTTTACATCTGACCCGCTGCTTACCCATGAGAATTTGGACGCATTACCTAAAGAACATCTCAGTCTCTCACCCATGTCATAGGGATAAAAGTGGTCGCCTTGTGATGTGGAGAACATTACAAAACAACAACAACAAGCAAACAAAACCTGCTCCCATGAAGCACTTTCTATCATCTGTGGCGCAGAGAGCAGCCAAGGGGCGGTGGTTGTTATTACTGTTTCAACATTCCGCGAACACAGTATCTCATTCATCTAAACTTTCCTGGTCCTAAGGGAGTACTATCTTGTGATTCTAAGAGACTGACTCTCCCATGTCTCCCTATGAGTTTAAGTTCCCAGGGACAAGGACTCTTGTCGCTGCCTTCTAGAGCAGGGCTGTCAGCATAGCCATGACCACCAGATGGCGGGCTCGGGTTACCAGTCTTTTCCATCACTGAAGGGGCCATGGAGCCCAGTCTTCGCTGCTCTCATTTAAAAAGTTCCTCACTCTGGTGGGAACAGAGAGTGAAGAAAGAGTGGAGGTGAGTACGGGGAGGTTACAATCACCATGCTTTTCTTATCAATCTGTAGATCCGCAATGCAAGAATGAGAAAGGGACTCTAGCCAGGTGGTGGTTTTATGGTACAGTAAAACGAGCTTACTGTGAAGCCATTTCCACACGTGGCTCTCTTCTGCAGCTGGAAAGGCCTAGGCGACAGCATCAGCAGGGTCCGGGCTGCTCAGGAAAGTTACTGCTGGGAACCACCGACCTTCAGCACCCTCAGTTCACATCCCCTCCCATCTGGTCTGGTCTCCAAGGGCAGATCTGCCCAGAAGGCCTGAGAGCAGAAATGCTGTCACCCAGCATACAGTTGGGAAAGTGGAGGATGGGGCTGTGTGTGAGTGTGGGTGTCAAGGATTTGCCTCAGGCTCTGACCTGCTGAAGCCAGGATGCAGGTGGGGCTTCTTCCGGAGTCTATGCTGTGCCTTTGATAAGCTGTGCTCTGAAGGAGGGCACCAGGCAGGAGACAGTGACACAATGGGAGGGGGGCAGTCAAATGCCACAGGTGTCTGGTTCTGCACTTGGCCCTGTCCTGCAATTTCTAACGTGCTCTTTTCTACAAACCTTTGGAGGAGGCTTTACAAATGACAGCCCCAAGGAGTCATCAGGGGTAGGGGGCGGGGAGGGAAGGGACCGCCCAGATTCAGAGAGATGGGGCCAGGAGTCAAGCACAGGAGTGCCCCAGGCCAAACCTCCTGTTCTTTCCCACCACGGTGCAATCTGGAGGATACAGCGTTGCGACCAAAAGGAGGAGGCAGCCTCCAGATCCTGGGCGACCTTGGGCAGGCCTGTCTCCGACTAGCCCTGAAGCTTCCTGGAAGGCCAGGGCTAGTTGGGACAGCAGGCCAAGGCCCTGGCAGCCCTATCCGGCCCTGGGCTCCCGGAGGCCAGCGGGCCTCCGGGTGGCCGGGCAGCACCGTGGCCAATATTGACTTTGGTAAACACCATTTTGCACAGAGCACGGCGCGAGGGCGGGGGCGCCGTGACCCGGGGGGCGGAGGCAGCGGCTCCGCATTTAGACGAGGCCATTAGCGGCGATCGATGGCTGCGCCGCGCGCTCCGGCCGTTGGGCACTCCCAAATGAAGGTTAAGTTTGCTCTGCGCCCCGGCGCGGCCGGCCATGCGCCCGCATAATGGCCCCGGCCCAGCCGGCCCACGTGCCCAGGTTAGGTCGGCAGGGAGAAGGGCGGCTCTTTGGCCATACCCGGGCGGGGGACACTGTGTGGTGTGTCCGGGATGCCATGTGCGGTATACTGGCCTGCCTCACACAGGGTCACCCAGCTGGGCTCCCGTGGTTGCTGGCAGGTGTGCTGAGCCTCTGCCCTTGCACCCGGGCACTCCACTGAACGCGCGGTGGTGGACAGAGCCGGAGGAGCGCCCTCACCGCCGTGCATGAGAAGCCGGCCACCTCGTAGACGAAGCAAGCCGGTCTGGGAAGCAGGAGACCCGGGATACATTCCAGTCTGCCCTATCTGCTCGGCCAAAGCCCTTCCTCCCGCCCCTGGCTTGACAGCTCCTGAAACAGGTGTGGCGGAAGACCTTAGCCCTGGACAGGCAGGCTCTGCTCACACTGGGATGCTAGATAGCTGGGGTGTGTGAGTGCATGCACACGGACTGCGTGCACTGAGGCGGGATAGTTGCACCCCGTAAGACCATGACTGCCCAGGTGCTGCAGCAGCCCTCAGGGCAGGTCTGGGAAGCAGCAGCAGCAGCAGCCAGGCACAGGAGACAGAGCATGGGTCAAATCCCAGGTCCTCCCTGTGATGACTTTAATGGTTCTGGGCATTCTAACCTCAGTTTCCTCATTAGAAAAAGGGCCAGCCCCTGGTGTGGTGGTTGGAGCTACTGGATCCCTTGTGGCTGCACCCAGGGCAAGTGTTAAACCCCTGCTAGGGCGGGTCCTAGCAACTGCTGCTTGTCCTGGCGGTGGTGTCCAGGTGAATGCTACAGGAGGGACCCAGGGTCTAGACACCCACCAGCTGAGTATGCCAGGGTCAGAGGGAAAGGGACTGAGTCAGTCCCCCCCACTGGGAAATGAATGCCCCAGACAAGGTCTTAGCATACTCGTGGCCCAGTCCCATCAGTGCCCTAGGCCGATGGGCCCAGGAGCTCTGAGCAGAAGGGATGGGTGGGCCACTGCGTTAGGGAACATGTGGGGACATTTTGTCACAGCGGGCAGCCCAGAGACACTAATGATCCTCACAAGACAGCTGTCTGCCCCAATGCCAGCTGTGCCCAGGAGGGCTTGACCAGAGGCTCTGAGGAGCCAGGGGAGTGGATGGCCCCAGGGATGGGCGTGGCCTCCCTCCTGGCTCTTTCCTGCAGCCCCCACAGCCGATCCTGATTAGAGAAGACCCTGCCAGGCAGCTTCTCCCCCTGTGCCACGCAGCCTGAGCCTTTGTTCTTCCGGCGGATGAGGACCTTGGAGCCAGAGACGCAGGTGACCTGCCCAGGTGGCAACTCTGAGTCCCTCATTGAGAACCCAGGGTTCCCTAACTCCTTCCCAGGGCTCTGTCCAGTGCCCCTGCCCCTGGACACAGCAGTCCCCACTGCCAGCCAGCATCTTCCTGAACAATGACCTCACAGCGAGCCCCACCATTCGTTACCCGGCTGGGTCTCAGATGACCCCAAGGTAAGTTAAGGTGACCCACCAGGTCCCAAGATGCAGGGTCAAGGCACGTGTGCTTGTGCCACCTCCCTGGGAGGCCGAGGCTCTTCTATCACTGCCACTTTCCTTCGAGAACACAGAGGACATTGTTCTATCCTCGGTGACCTTGGCAAAGCCCCCCTGCTCCCTGGAGGTGAGCGCTGTGCTCATGGGAGGTGACAGTGCTTATTGTGGTTGCACTGCCTGGGTAACGGCACAGGAAGAGGCACCCCTGGAGCCTGAGCGTCACATCTTTCCCTCCACAGCCCCAGAGCCATTCTCTCTCCAGAAGCTTCCGTAAATGCGCCCCCAACTCCTTAGCCTCCTTTTCAGGATCAGCGGGTTTATCCATTGGGAAGCTTGGAATCTGAGCTACAAGGTCATGAGTCCAATCCCCAGAGTAATCAAAAGCCCAGAGAGGCACAGGCTCTCACGTTGGGTCACACAGCAAGGCTGCGGTCAACCTGAGCTGCTCTCCTCTCCAAAACGTACAGGATGAGTTGCAGGTGCAGGGCCGGGCAAGTCCCTTCGGCAAGTCCCTGGCCAAGCTTAGCCTCAGCCTGAACCGCAGCTTCCGCCTGCAAACCCACAGCAGGTCCTGGGACCTGCCCAGTAGACCTAGGTGAGGGCCTGGGCTATGAGGGCACTGTGTCAGACATTGCAGGGCCTAGAGATGGCAGGGAATGGGGCCTGCCCTGGAGTTCATGGGCTCAGAGGGGATAAAACATGATCAGAATTTTATTAAAGAAATATAAAGGCTGGCAGGTGGCATGGTGGCATTGTGGTTAGAGCATGGGACTCCCACATGGCCAACTGTGGTTCGAGTTAAAACTACCTCTCTCTCTCTCTCTCTCTCTCTCTCTCTCTCTCTCTCTCTGGTGACTGCACGTACCCTATAGAAAATTAAAATAATGATAATAATAGGGATTTGCAGATGGCATAATGATTACATAGCTGGACTTCTACAAATTTGACCACTGTTCAAGTCCCAGACCTGGCAGCTTAAAACTCACACTGGGCACTTGTGTGTGCCTGACCAAAGTCCCAAAAGTTGAATGGAGGAGAAGGCATTGCAGTGTGACCATCCCCCCAGTGGGTGATTTCTCACTTTCTGTTTCTCTCTCTGTCTCCGTCTCTCCAGCAAGTGCACACACCCTATAGCAAAAATCTCTCTAAAATAATAATAATAATAATTAATAAAATTAAATTTAAAATGTTGAAAAAAGAAAGATGAAGGCACTTCAAAACTTTCCTGGAAAAATAGAATTAAAATACAAATTTAGGGACCAGCAGATGGTGTCATGATTACGTTTCTGGACTCACACATAGTTAACTGCAGTTCAAGTCCCAGACCCAGTAACTTGAATCTCACACTGGGTACATGTGTCTGCGTGCTCAGGGTCCCAAGAGGAGAGGAGAGAAGGGACTTCAGTGTGGCCATCACCCCGGGGGGGGCGATTTCTCACTGTCTCTCTGGAAAGAACACATGCCCTATAGCAAAAATCTCTCTCAAAAAAAATAATAATAATAATACTACAAATTTATTTAGGTGAAAAAAAGTGCACCCATAACTTTTTCATAATATGCATCTTCCATGAACTTCTTGAAGACCCCAGGTATGACTGCTAGGCTCTGGGGATAGATGTAGTGGTGAGCAAAACACCCACGGTCCTGCTGTGGGGACACCGGGGCCAAGTCTAGTCAATATGCAGTTACAGATGAGGGAGTCGCTCCAGGGAACAATGAGCGCACCTAGGCAGCGAGGGGGACCCACTCTGAGGGCAGGAGAGCGTTGCCGAGGAGGTAATGCTGGAGGTGACATCTGACAAGCACAGGGGGATGAAGCAGACCAGGAGCGGGCCTGGAGCCGGGAATGGCATTGCTCACAGTGCAATCTGTATCCGAAGGCTCTTGGGTGGGGGTCAGCCCGGAGCATCCAAATAACTACTGATGGACAGAGCCCACTGCCAGCAGTCATGGTTCAGTGGGTATCGAGGTAAAGATGAACCCAGAAAAGTCAGTGAGCTTAGATGACACAGGTCCCTGGGAGCCCAGGAAGCAACCGGAGCCTGATCCTAAAAACAGCACGCCGTGGATGCTGCAGCAGAATGTCACGTGTTCTCAAGAGATCACGTGATGACAGGGGTGAGGATGGATTGTGGTGTGAGCACACGTGGAGAGGAAGGCCCAGTGAGGAGACGTCACTAGAGACCAGGCACAGGGCAACAGCTTGCACTAGGGGTCGAGATGGGCAGCGTAGATGGAGATAGAGTGGACAGGTGGGGGTGGCTCTGTGGCAGGCGAGGGAGGAGGAGGTTCCTTGGGCCGACTTGGTCCTAAAAGGTGGCCCTAGTTGGGTGCTGATGTTTGCACAGACAGGAGCCTGGGGAGGGGCGTTCTGCTGGCATTAAGTTTCCTTTAAGACACTGAATTGAAGAGGTCAAGTAGTGGCATATGTGGTTCTTACTTAGAAATGGAAAGATGGTCACTGAAGCCAGGGCCATGGGTAAGGTCATGCAGGGA